CGTCAGAGGCGCGCAGTGTAGGGAGGTCGGGGAGGAACGGAAGAGGCCCCGGGAAATTAGCCTCCCCACGTGGGGTTGGGCTGCCCTCTCGGGCAGGGGAGGCTTTGTAAAATAATTCGCTTTACCTTCGAAAGCAAAGGAAAGACGGGAGCGCCTGAAGCCAAGTGTCTCCTCAGGGCTCCGGTTGCAGGGAGGAGCCCTGACTGGCCGCACATGGCTGCGCCAAACGCCGCGGCATTACTCTAACGCCGTGGCAGCAAGGGAGAAGGGGCAGCAAGGGAGAAGGGAAAGCAACGGTGGGAGGTCTCCCGATATGAAGTGCCCCACCAACGCAGGTAGCACCATATCCGGGCATGCAACAAAAGTACTTCCTAATGGCAAGCCCCCCCCGCTCCCCCCCCCATTTCGCATGTTTAATATGGGGCTTAATTTGGGGGAGGGGTTTAATTTGATTTTATGCCAATAAAACATGGTGGGGCTTCCTATTGGTGGAGGCCGTATTGTTGGAGAAACACGGTATCTATCTATCTATCTATCTATCTATCTATCTATCTATCTATCTATCTATCTATCTATCTATCTATCCCTCTCTCTATATAAAACAAATGGCAACTTCAAATCTCAAAAAATAAATGCTCTGTCTTACAAAAAAAAAAAATATCAGAAAATAAAATACAGGCTGAATAGTCAAGACCTTGTTGATGATCGAAACTCTGTCAAGGATCTTGGAGTACTCATCTCTAATGATCTAAGTGCTAGAGCCCACTGTAATTACATAGCAAAAAGGCATTAAGAGTTGTTAACCTAATCCTACGTAGCTTTTTCTCTGGTAATATCACACTACTAATATCACTATCACACTAGCATACAAAACATTTGCTAGACCAATACTCAAATACAGCTCATCAGCCTGGAACCCACATTATGTATCTGATATTAACACAGTTGAGAAAGTCCAGAAATATTTCACAAGAAGAGTTCTCCACTCCTCTACTCGTTGCAGAATACCTTATGCCACCAGACTCTAAATTCTAGACCTAGAAAACCTAGAACTACACCGTCTTCGGTCCCATCTAAGTATAGTATAAGTATAATCGTACATTGCAATGTCCTACCTGTCAATGAATACTTCAGCTTCAGCCATAACAACACAAGAGCACACAATAGATACAAACTCAAGGTTAATCGCACCAAACTTGATTGCAGGAAATACGACTTCAGCAACAGAGTGGTCAATGTCTGGAATACTCTACCTGACTCTGTGGTTTCTTCCCCAAACTCCAAAAACTTTAACCTTAGACTGTCTACTATTGACCTCACCCCTTTCCTTAGAGGTCTGTAGGGGGCGTGCATAAGCGCACCAACGTGCCTACCGTCCCTGTCCTATTGTTTATCTTATATGTATCCATTTCATGTATTCATAACTATGTTTCTTCTTATACCTGTTATCTTATAATCGCTTGACAAATCAAATAAATAAATAAATATAGGGGACTCTTGTCCCTCCGATTCTAGGAACCTGCGGTGCGAGATGCAGTATAGGGCTAGATCGCCTGGCGTCTGCTAATGCAGGCTTGCTTCCCCATTTTGGATCCAATTGAGGCAATTTGCATGATGTAACCAGCGGGGCGGGGTTCCCCCCCAATATAAGAGTTCTCTTTTTTTCGCCCAGCGGGAACGTTTCGGCAGCCGCAACAGGAGGAGCCTCGGTTCCTTTTATGACTTTCCCCGCTGCCTCTCTGGCCGTTTGGTTCGAGCTTTGGCTCACAGACGCCTTCCTCGAGGCAAAAACTGGCTACCCCCCTCCCGCATCCCCCTCTTCCGGCCCCCTTGTCCGAGGAGGTCCTAGTCCCTTGGGCCTGAATTGCAGACCGGGAGAAGAGGCGCCGCCGCGAAGCAGAAAGACCCTCACCGAGAAAGGAACGTGGAAGGCAAGTGCGGCGCATCCAAAGCAGGGCTATTGGAAGAACAGGGCTGGCCGCAGAGCACGGTAAGCGCCGCTACGGGCGGAAACGGCGAGGATATGTAATCCGTTCCCAAAACGTTTTAAAGACGACCTGGGAGAAATCTTTGCAAAGTTCCCGGGATCTTTCCAGCTCAGCCAATCAACTTGGGGCCCTATGCAAGATTGGGGCACGCCGATTCAGATTGTTATCTCTTGGGAACCGACGCGGCTTGTCTGGCGGCGCTGCGTTTTCCGGTCAAGGCAAGCGGTGGAAGGAGTATAAAGCGCTGGCTGGCTTTGACGAGGCACGTAGTGAGATGCCTGCTTGGGTTTGGGGCTGGCTCGGTTCTCCTTGATTCAGAAGTAAGTTGCATGGCCTTTTCAGAGACTTTCCTTGGGGTGGGCGTGGAGTCGGATCGAGGCCTCCTTCACTTTTCCCCTGCTCGCCCCAGGCGCCCGCTTTAAGGGACGCCGAGAACTCTGCAGCGCCTCCGCTTGTCAGACTTTTAAGGCAAGGAAAGCTTCCTTTGAAGCGAACTCAGCCGCCGACGCGAT